TCTCACACTACGTGAATGAATAGGTGAATAGGTTGTATATGTTCTTCAGTCCAGAAGAGTCTTGGATGTTCCTTCGCACTCCAACTCTGCACCTGCAATTGCTCGCCTGGAGCTCTTTCTTCGACACCCCTTTCGAAGTGTTGTCGAAACTGTGCACCATCCTGAACATGAGGGAAGGTCAACATTTACTGCCTTCCCAACATCCTTGTCCATTTCCAAATGGCAGGGTGTTGACCGCACCCTTATATAGTAACATCTTGCAAGTTTCCAAACATTGCGAAACTTCGTGGCAGTCAGTAGTCAGGACGTGCTACTAGCAAGTCTGCATCGTCTTCTGTCCAACCAGAACAGGGCCCAAACCATGACAAGCTTGAACCAACGGAGCTTTATCGACTCAAACTCAAGTAGTACAAAGTAGTCTGCTAGGTTCCGGGTTGCACTTCCTGGATTTTCATCAAGACAACCAATTCAATCGTAGTCATAGTCCTGAATGAAGCCCTGGTGAAGTCCCTACCTTTTGGCCGACCAGGAAACTCTGCACCCTTTGAAGTAAAGCTTGGTGAAGGACAGGGGAGCAAATGGTATGGCCATGAATTGAGATGGCCCAACTTCCATGCATTTGCGTAGTTTGGGGTCGACATGGGTCGACCAACTCCAACACGTCGAAGCTGGGTCAACTACTTCCACTCATCCAAATGGATGCTTGAAAACATTGCTCGCCCGCTGAAATATGGTTCAATTCGCAGGGGTAAACATGGCCACTATATATTTAAACATTAACATTGGTTCATACACATCATTCTATAAACCATAATGTTGAATTTCATGACTAGTTATTATTGCTATTATGAAAATCTATTATATAATTATATATGTAAATATGTATATTTATTTGATGCGATTTGCAGGCAGTGATGCTGATTCGATCACACCGGTCCCACGTATCAAACCCCACGACATGAACAATGCGATCCCGTGTGCCTTCACCCGCGCGCGCGTGGTGTGCTGTCCTTTACAGGCCGCTCTTGTGGACGGCTGTGCCGGAAATTCCTGTGGCACTAAACCCACTATGGCACCACGCATACAAAGTTCCATGCTTTGTGCGAAATCTTCAGCCTCCTGCCTCCTGCAATTTCTGGTCGTCTTGCAAACAGCTAACATAAACAACATTACCATACAATACCCAATACCCATTCAATGGCCGACCTTTACAGAATGATCACACCTGCTTCGACTCCCTCCGCGACAAGACGTGTGACACTGAAAGCAAATGTCAACGCGAGATCCAAGCGCATCGAACGGTCGTGTGCACTCTTTTTGTCGCGGGGCCCGATCCCACAAGTCCACGAGTCTCTGCAAATTCTCCAATCCGGACACGGCCTCTGCCACATGGCAAGCCTTCACAATTCACCACATGTTAAGATCATTTCTTCTGCAACGTGATGGCCGGTTCCGGTCGAACCCGGTCTCGTCCAGTCAAAAAGTTGAACATCATGGAGTGTTTCGTGCGGGCACCGGAAGCAGCAGGGAAATAGACAGTGGAGCCAGACATGCGCCATGCATTTTCATCTCCCACTCCACAGGCTAGTACATATTTCTGAAATATACCATCACACTACACCGCTTGTGCTCAAGCTACCCGAAAAGGCTTTCTAACTGAGAATTGTTGTTTCCATCTTAACTATTCTTCAGATTTCTTAAGTGAGATGTTGGGTGTGTACCAACTCGCTATCCCCAGTGCTTGGTCATGGTGGATATTGTTTGTTTTGCCATGTTTTGCCCTTTTGCAAATTCCCATTTTGTGTTTTTTCAATTTGCAAATTGCTTTTCAATTGGCGTTTTTGTCTCACATATCCTTTCGGATTCCGCTGGATCTTTCAAAGTGCTCCGAGAGTCAGGACGACATCGCATCTGATTTCCGAGCAGCCACCGTGCGCCGAGCAGCCCAGGCTTACTGTACTATGTAGATCTATGTAGTCTTTCTAAAGCTCGTTCTCCCTTACATGTGTTGAGACATGAACCCAATAATAACAAACTGTAACCATGTTGGATTGAAGCCCCTTGAAACATGTTCGCCGAACAGGACTTGCACCCTTGAAGCGAAGCATCGGCGACCAGGTGGAGCTCACTCCCAGCTCAAGCAAGATCATTGCAAGATATGGCACATCCCTCATGCGCAAGGGGCGCAAGCTGGCGCAAGCTGACGCAAGCAGCGCAAAAGAATCATCCCCAAACAACTGCGATTTGACCAGGACTGTGTTCACACTTGCAGCGGCTCGCATGCTGGAAAGCATGTTCACCGCAACTGTTACCCTGGGTTAGCCTCAAGTTCAGCAACCAATACCCCCAATTGCAGTGGTTGCAGTCATGCAGCGGTTCTTGCCAAACATGGTGCGGCTGAATTGTTTTTGCCAGCATCAGGTGCTAGCCCTGATGTGGAACAAACTTGGGGAACAACAAAGGCAGTTGTGCTGCTTCTCAAGCTTCAATCTTCGGGTTGGGAAAATGTTACTTCACTTGGTGCTGACGACTCGTGACCCAAAGCACAGATTAGTTGACTCATTCCGCACTCCCTCCTCTCCTCCCTATCTCCCTATCTCTCTGTCTCTCTCTCTCTCTCTCCCCATAACCCTCTCTCTCTCTCTGTCCCTCTCTCTCTCTCTCCCTCCCTCCCTCCCCCGCTCCCCCTCTCTCCCTCTCTCCGTCTCTGCCTCTCCGTCACTGCAGATGTGGTACTACAATTTATGTGGATTATACTGTAATGTCCTTTATGCCCTCTTATTCTAGTGCCCTAATGTCACCCTCAAATGTGGCTGTTTTGGAGGTCTGTCGGTCTTCTGCTCTTTTGTGCTCCAGTTCTTTTCCTGTCCGGTGTCTTGATTCCCTTCACATTGATGTCTTCACTCTTCACCCATCATGCTATCCTTGTGTGCTCACAAGTAGAGGACCAGTGAGATTCCCCGGTCAATAGTCCCTGGGGGGGACAGCAAAAGACACTGCCACGCCTGAGGGAGCAAAAGCCAGACTTGCTAGAGCAGCTTAAATCGGTTTAAACCGGATGTGGAGAGTGGGCCGTGCGAGGTATCGACATGGAAGATGACCTCTGCAACGGCAAACTATTGGAAAACCCCCACTGCTCCATGGTTTGAGAACGACCTACTGTTCCAAAGCTTTGATCATTTACTGGTCAATGAGCTTTTGCATCTTAGCTTCTGTTCTTGCCGTTTCGGACAGGTTCAGGGCATGACCAAAGCTTGAGAACCTTGTCGTTCCTGGGGTACCTAACTGGGACGACCGCAGCGCCATCTCCCAAGTTCGCCAGACCGGTTCGTCCAGGGCGAGTCGTGTTCCATGGGCGCGGCCTCACGGCTACAGCATGTTACAAGTGAAGACCCCCTCTACTTGGGCAGTCTTGGAGTCTGGACTCGGGAGCGCAGACAGTTGCGTCATCCAAAGATCAAAGATCCAAGGGGTTGGGGTTGTGTCCCCACCACTCAGTTGCAGCCAATGAAGGAGTGCTTTCCGTTTCCGCTACCTTGCACTGCCAAGGCCTCCGCCAGCGAGAACGGGCAAACAGGATAAGGTTGGCTTCGAAGAGTGTCTTCACGACTCGGCTCTTTCTTTAGAAGGAAGAGTGCTGCAAAACAAATAGAACATAATAGAACCGTGTACAAATGTTCAATTGCGACTACAGCAATGCTTTTATGTTTGAGGTTGTTTGATGTTATTTGAGTCCAATGGAATTGGTGAGGACTTTAAAGGTTTGTCGTCCCCAGAAACGCCAAATTCTGTTTGTGAAATAAAAGATCCAAGCGATATACTATTGAAATCGAAATCGCTCCCAAAGATCCCAAAGCCCCTCTCGTTGCTATTACAGTTCCTTCTTTTTGGTTCATGATTCATCCGGTGACCAAACACCCGCGCGTTCGTCGCACTGCTTTTCACGAGCTCGATGCTCTGCGAGTTGAAACCGAGTTGGGCCGAACACGGAGTTCTCGCCGTCCATGCGAACGCCTCAAACACATTGACGCCTTTGTATCCGGTCAATTTGTTTCTTTTGGACTCCGGAACAAGTAAAGACAATCAGCTTTTAAGGAACCTCACTATTGCGAACCTGTTCAGCCCTAGGGTGGCGGCCAGTCCACTCAAAGAAAAACACGAAACCATGTCTGTGAGCCAATCGGTCTGAGAGATCCAACAAACCTCCATCGACAATGGTGAATTCGAACTGATGGAACATGACTTAACAATGTGAGTGAGGTCTAAAGAGATCCGAAAGGTTCGGAGTTGTCGGTTCTATACTGACAGCATCTGAAACCTATCTGCCTTCAAGCCGGAAAGAATTTAGCCGTTCGTCACCCTGTAGAACCACTCCTACTTTCCAATCATCCCTTTTAATTGAGGTAGAACTCAGCCCTGAGGCTTTGTTCATCTTTGCTTTACTTCAAAAGATAGGAAGCAGTCTTTGAAGACCTAGTGATCCAAGCATGGCAAGCTCTGTCAGCAAGCGGACAAAAGTACACTTTGATCAGGTCTGATGAAGATGCTGGCAAGCCATCACGAGCCATACAAAGCAGTCAATATGTTTTCATGGCGCACTTTCGATCCGAGCTTTCAGTCTTTCACACCCTCCTCGAGCTTTCTTCTCATGCGAGTATTGGCAGCTGTGTATTCTTTGGGCTGAAGCAGGATTGTTCTTTTGGACTCCCCACAAGCAGTGACAAAAGTGGATATAAGATGATATAAGTCATTACAATAAGTCTGATAAGTTATATTGTAAGTTTCACAGTTTCAATTGGCATCGCCTTGTTTTCCCCTCAATTCCCCTCAAGCTTTCAAGAATCTCCAGCTGCAGCAACTTGATGTCACTTGTAGAAAAAAGGTGATCTTGCTGAGTCAAGTCCATCAGCCAACAAAGTCCATGTTCACGTAAACTGTGGATTCCAATTCACTGGTCACTGGTTTGGCTTCCAGAACTTGTGAGAGCTCGCATGTCTACAGGACAATCAAACAGGCAATGCTCTGCGAACAGCGTGACTCGAGAAGGACGGACTAGAAAGCTCCAAATGCCTATGCCTGACGCTTCACTCCATTGTTCAGCTTCTCAACCTTCATCTTGCCATCCTGACCGGCCGCACGAAGGCATTTGGTCATCCACGGGAGGTGAATATGTGGATCAAAAGGATCCCAGTTGGGTTGTCACAGTTGTGCCGCTGTGCCCCCCCCCAGTCTAGCAACCTGTAGATGCCCCCCGTTGCCCTGGACGTGACTCGCACGCAGGTTTCGCATGGTGTCGCCATGTGTCGCCTACTACGATGAAACTGATGCCGAAAAGGCAGTCCAAGCTTTCCCACTATGCCCGAGACTCACTCGGTGCGGATTCCCACAGCGCCCTGAGTCCTGGTCGTGAACTCAGGAAGAACTCTTGGTGTAGGCACTCAGCTGCTGAGCCCTACTAGCGATGGCCTCCAACCTACTAGCTTCTTGCTACTAGTAGCTTCTTGCTCCTAGTAGCGATGCCCTTGTTACTAGTAGCGATGCCAGGAGCTACTAGTCGCTTTCTTTTCGGGTTCACCGGTCCAACATGGTCCCGCACAGCAGGGCATCGATCTGTGAATCCGCATCGACGCGGAAGAACGTCGACGCTGAAAGCGGCGCCTCGATCAGCCACTTCTCGTTGCAGATCCGCTCCACAAAGTCTGTTTTGGGCTCGATCATGATGATCCCCCCACGGAAGTTGGTGAGCGCCTGACAACTGAAGCAAACAATTGAAGCGAGCTTCTGCTTGCGACAACTCGAACACATGGGCTTGATTGGATAAATGACGACCGGAAACGCAGATTGTTCAAGCATGCCTTCCTGAGTCAGCTTAATTAGGAAGGATTATCATGCCACCAACGTTAATCTTCTTGGAGGAGGTTCCTTCAACTTTAGACTTAGACCAAGTCAAACCCCCAGCGAAACCCACCCACAAAGGACCAAAGGACCAAAGGATCTTTTTCCGGTGCTGACACCAGGCAGAGTGCTCACCAAAGGAGGACCCTAACTGACACTCAGTCCCACCAGGAAACATTGGCTCAGGCCGTGCATACACTGGTGACATCTGGTGACCACGTCCAGCGTCGGCACCTTCCCAAGGGCATCAACCGTCTCCACGTCCAAGTAGTTGGTGGGCTCGTCCAATGCGATGAAGTGCCTCGTCCAGTGGGAATTAGATAATAATTACAGTACATGCTTTATGACAATATCCTTTCTTTACACATCGGTACATTCTCAAGCGCGGAAACCAGTGCTGTAGGGTAGGGGAACTTCGATTGGAATTTTCTTGTCTGTCTTCTTTCGCTTTAGCAGTAAAGCGAAATTGGGCAGGGAGTGAGTGATTGAGTCCTTCTCTGTGCTATGGCAGGGCAATATACATCTAGGTGCAATTCTTTTGTTGTAGGACCATAGGAGCAAATGACAGTGCGAATCCCATGACAAACTCTTCTTATCATCCATAAGTGGTTGCCTGAGCATGGAGACGGCCTACAACAAACCCCACTTGAACATTCTTCTTCCGCGATGCCCTTTGCTTCCAGTAGCTTCTTGTTCCTAGTAGTAAGGCCAGGAGCTACGTTCGTAGCGTTCTTGCTCCGTTCGTAGCGATGCCCTGACTGCTCCGTTCGTGGCTGTGCCGTTTCCCTCTGTTCCCCCCGTTCGCTGATCTGCCACGCGACGGCTTGGTCCAAAACATCGCTGCTAAGGAGAGTCGCACCTGCCAAGCGAACATGGAACTGGGCCGAACTGAAGAAGTTGGGAACGGGGTTCTGGACATACACTAAGAGCCTTGGTTCTTCCAGAAATGTTCTTCCAGAAATTGACTTCAATTCTTCAATTCAGGTCTGTTCTGCTTGACCACCCAACTTGGCCTCCTTTCTCCGTCCCATAAAACGGCTCCACAACTCCAGGACATCTCAAGCCCAAGCTAAGACATCTCAGCGCCTGGGTGTTGCCGAACTTAAGGACAGGGTCAGCCCCGTACGTCGTCTTACTTGAGAATAGGCTATAAGTGATGTGATGCAATTGTCTAGAAGCCAGAAACCGACAACATGGCAGTGGCGAAGCCGGTACTGCAGCTTCTTCTTTCAGGTGCGTCATAGAAAGGCCACGAGCGTAAAACCATGTAAAACCATGTATCTAAAGCCTGGAACACATCGCAAACTGACACATTCTCCGAATGACGCCTGCGAATGTGATGAGAGCTTGGCACACCCAGCAATGCATTGCTGTTACAAGTGTTACACTCCGGCTTCCAGTGTTAGAGGTGTCCCTCACAAACACAGCAAGAACCCTGCCTTTTGGCCGGCTGAAAAGCCGCGGATCTGCCGGTTGCAGCACATCTCCTCGATGCGGCAGGGCGGCTTGGCGATTGCATGCGATTACCACAATTACTGCCAAAGCCTCAAAATGATCTGAGCACACCACCTCAAAACCAAAACCCACTCCAAAACCCATACGATTCCGCACGAAAGTTGTGGTCATTTCTCTTGTGGGGCCAGGATCTCCATCTTTATCCCTTGACTTGCGCAAAGTTTCTTCAGGTAGCTCACGCGACAGTCAGGCAGAGTCAGAGTTGTATGTGCCCCTTCGGAATTTGTTCTTCAGGTGGCACTTCTTATCAAGCACTTATTTTTTCGGGGACATTGTTGCAATAAACGCCCTGCCACGTAAAAGAATGGGAAATCTCTCGGGAATCTCAATGGCACAGTTCTTGGTATGTCCTGATCCTGTCATCCTCAAACTCAAACAGAAGAGAAAAATCATGAAAAACCTTGGGCCCAGTTTTTCATCTCTATGGATGAGGCGCTTTCACATCGGCTTTGTGAGGGAACCCAACCCTGCCCGGCACGGAAGGTGCGAGACAAATATTGTCTAGTTAGTGGGTCAGTTCGACACTGAGCTGACTTGGGTTGGGGGTGGATGAAAGTCGCTTTGGTGGGCCCATGTCGCTTTGGTGGGCCCATCCCTTGCTCTTAGGAAAGACTATATTTATATAGAACGGCTTCTTGTTCCTAGTAGTAAGGCCAGGAGCCCCTAGTAGCGTCCTTGCTCCTAGTAGCGATGCCAGGAGCCCCTAGTAGCTTCTTGTTCCTATATTTTTTAAATGTTTCATGCAATTGGTTTTGGCCCCTTCTTGTCCGGCCCACCTCATCAATGCCAAAGGCTTCGCAATGCCTCTTCAGCTGTGCGCCCACGCACACTTCGGACGACCAGCACGGCTGTTCCAACCCAAACAGCGGTAACATTGCAAGAGGTACTGTAATGCAAAAGCAACCGGCAAAATACAGTCTGAGTCTGTGTACAAAAAAGAACATCACAGCGTAGAATAACAGCTTCCTTACACAGGGGTTGGTTTCCAATTAGAGCGAAAAAGGGAAAAGGAACGCCTTTGTTCTGTATTGGTCTACCTCAACCTCGTTTATGTCGCAAGCTCACCATCAAAGCTCACCAGAGTTTTAGTTGTGGACAGCTATTGATCTCATCTTGATCCACAGGACATCCAGGACATTTACTAGTTGCTTGTGGTTGATTCATAGCAAAGAGTAAACCTTTGGTTGAACATGTTTCAAATGGGCATCTCTCATCACATTTTTGGACCTTGAGGCATGTGCCCCTGCTTTTGGATATTTTTTGGATGAATAGCGTCAGAAGACTTTGGAACAGCGCCCATGGCCCTCGAATTGATCTCTCAACGACGTTCATCTTGAGATGTTCTGACTCCGAGGATATATTAGGATATGCTGGATCTTCCCGCCCGGTGCCTCACAATCTCCCTGCGCGTCAAAGGTCGCTGATCCAAGCCAGCTGCCTGACATGTCTGCTTCGTGTTGGACACTCGATACGTGGGCAAGCCCCGACGACAGGCTGGACGTGCAGTTGGGCGGTTGCCAAGTCGTTGATCCCTAGAACCCTTTGGCCAGGGATGTCACTTTCGATTGGACATCACATATTATACAATCATATACAATCATATATATATATATATAACTATATGTATAAAATTAATATATAGTGGGTTTGTCCATCAAGAAAGACAGGGGTTAACTCAAAGAACTTACTAGCAGGGAGAACAAAAAGCATTGCGAAAGAACTTCCGAGGATTGATATTTCATGACCTTTCTGCTTCGCACACAACCATAATATCGGCTAATATCAGAGTCCAAACAAACGTCTGGTCAAATGCACAAAAGATTGAGCAGACCTGACACTTTGCAGACCCCACTGGGTCGGTGGGTTTTTTTCATGGGGTTGCTCCCCTTCTCTTGGACAACACTGGCGAAGTGAAGGAAACATCTTTCAAACCCTCCAGGCGGAAGTTCTTTCAAAGTCCCTCGCACTGACCGACCGACCACGACCGACCACGACCGACCACGACCGAACACACTAAGCCCACGGCCTTGGCGGCGATCCGCTCGTCGCAGGCGATGATGACCTTGTCCAGGCCCATGGCCTTCAGTGCCGGGTGCGGGTGCCGCGGTGCCGCGGTCTGAAATGAGTACGGTACACTACACCGGGACACACCCAAGTTTGAGTCTTGGCTATTGGTCAAAGGAAACACAAATAGAAAGTAAATGTTCCTGCGGACGCTTTTGTGTTCTCTTGTTGTTATTGATCGAGCCATTGCCACGTGCTTCAATATACTGCACAACTCGTCTTGGATGAACTTCTCTCGCCAGCCAGGCCTTGAGCTTTGAGATTGGCTCAACGGTGTTCTGCTTGGGGTCGTCCAAACCATCCTCGGCAAAGAGCAACCAACTTACCATGTCCCTAAACATCTAGGAACCCATCTAGTGCAATCATGTGCAATCGCTTCTTCAAGGAAGCTCCCCCCTGCCCTCAGGCGGGGGAGCTTCCTTGAAGAAGCGCGAGCTATGCTGCGTCCAGGAGCTACTAGTAGTAGCTCACTCCCTCAATCTATTAAGGAGGCAGGGCCACAATGGGTGGCTTAAAAGATAACTTTGCTCTGGGTTTCAAGGCTAAACACTTGGCGTCCAGGCCCACCGGACTTCGTAAGCCAAATGATTGCCAACCTTTTGGGCGCAGTGGTGCGAGGGGCAAACAACCAGCTCTGAGACTTCCCAGCTCTCCATTCTGATCATTTTATCTTTGAAGAGTTGCATGGAGGATATGGTACGCACACATTGATCTGTTTGTGCCAGCTTTCAAATGGAGCCAGCTTCCAATTCCTGTCTTCAGTCACGGCCGACCCTGGCCTTGGTGCGGCTCACCAGCTCTCCCACCTCGTTGCCGTACTTGCCATACTGCTTGGCCAACTCCTGTCCATTCGACTGAGGCCGCCAAGGCGTCAAGGCATTGCTGGCAGGTGGAGCAGGTGGAGGCTGTTCTGCGATGTTTTGGATCTTTTCGGGGGAAGACGTCAAAGCATCACAACCGTCATTTTCCCCTTGAGGTTGCCCCACCGCATAGCAGCCACTGGTCAAGCATGTTGGAATAGGAATGGGAGAGCCTCAGTGTCATTTTTTTTAGTACATAAGAAGGAGTTTACACTTCCAGTCCTTAGCAATACCATAAAACATCACCCACATCTTTCCGCTATTTTCTAGGCATTCCATGATTTGCTGAGCGAGTTGCAGTTGGCCCACGAGCCCATCCAGATGTCGTTCCTTGCCCCAATTGGACAAACACTGCTAATGAACTTTCATTGACCGTGCACTTAAATGGACAGTGGAGCGCATGTGCAAGCCCAGGCAGTTTGCCACCATCTTACCACTTCACATTTCTGAATAGAAACTCACACCCCAAGATAAGGTGTCGTCACATGGCATAACCCCTCACCCTTCTACCTCTGCGCCTTTTCACGGGGTCCCCGCGGACTCCCTCCACTCCGACGCGCTCCCTACGTCCCGCGCCACGCCACGCCTTCCGCCGTAAGGCTTCCTCTTCGTCCTCGGGCCTCTGCTGTGCAAGGCTGCAAAACCCGAGTGGGAGGTCGACTGAACTGAGTTTTTGGCCACCAAACTTCAAACAGGCCCAAGTGACATTGCCCGTGATGTGGCGTAGGAGCGAATCGGACCGGTCCAGCTTCGTCCATGTTCGTTCTGCCAGCAGATTGGCTGGGGGTCTCCTCATTTTGGTACGATCACAAACTCAGGAAGCCAAAGGACATCAACCCGAATCAACCCCCAAGATACAGTGTATTTCGGTGATTCTGTACCCTTTTGTCACAAAACCTTACCATGCAAAACCCATCTTGTGCTTGCACGTCGAACGAGCTCGACTGCTTTCAAGGGCCCTGGCTCAATCAACCGTCTCTGCAAGTCACCATCGTAGCCCTCCTGGGCCAGAAGAAAAACACCAATGAAGCTCATGAACTTGGTTCAGTTTCTTGATTCTTTGAGCTCGCCGCACGAAGGACGGCCAAAGCTACTGAATACACTCCGGTCATGACAGGTGATGCAGGACTGCGAGTATGGCAGAGTCATGACGAGTCTGACAGGTCCTTAAAGCGCTCAGTGATGTAAACAAACCTGAGCGGCAAAAGCAGTGGAGACGGGAAACTGCATTGCAAAAATATGCTTCTTTAGACTTTTCCCCAGCTGGATGCAAAACATGAAGTGTTAAAGTCACTAGCATGATTGTTTTGACACACTAACATGTTTTCTCCCATGCTGCTTATGTGCCTGCAGGTAGCTTCATTCGCGCCGTCTCTGCGCCGATCGCTCGCAGGGTGACGTCGCGCGTGTCGAGTCTGCGGCGGAGAAGTGTCGAAGAACGGCCCCAAGGCTTTCAGGTGATCCTGTTGAGCGACAAAAGGTTTCGACCAGCTCCACTCTCGACAAGCTCCAGAACGGCCCCTGGAGAATTCGACGAGCTCCACTCTCGGCTCTCGTTTTCAAAAATGAGAAAAAAGATGAAAACGTCTACCAGTCTACGATAGTCCACCAGCTTCGCTCAGGTTCGTTCTCCTTGCTACTTTCAAACCAAACTTTCTAGCCACCCAAAGTTTCAGCCTCACCCTGCCAGACTTGCCGATGATTCCAACCGCTGTTTTTTTTGCAGGGTCTTCATGCCATCTTTTGACACTTCGATATCTTCGACGGTTTCAGGTGGTGGGTCGAAACGTATCCCACATCGCTAGCGGCTATGGCTTCTAAGGGGTTGGTTCTAAGCTGGGTTTCTTTCACTCGTGGAAACTCTTGAGAGCAAAGCGAACTAGTGCTGAAAAAAAATATCGTATAAGTACAGCACACTTTTGAAATCCGTTCCATAATGGTACAAAGCGCTAAAATGCTTCCAATTGTTTTCCACAATGTCGCTTCTGTAGAGCAATGCGGGGTCCTGCTTCATGTATGCCAGCCGCAAGTTGTGATGTCTCCAGACCTGGCAACCGGATTCTGACCGAATGAAGCAAGGGTTATTTTGAACTAGGAACAAGTGCCACGCTACTAGGAACAAGTGCATCGCTTCTAGTAACAAGTGCCTTAATTACTAATAGATACTAGTAGTAACAAGAAGCTACTAGGGGCTCCCGGCCTTACTACTAGGAGTTACTAGGAACAAGATTCATGATGTCCATCTCTTCTCTGCCATTCCCGTGCCTCGCCATGATGTCCATCTGTGTTCTCCGATGGCGAATGCCTCCAGTGTTTCTCATTTAAACACGTCGATCAAGTGTACACCAAGGGATGTGAGGCCACCCTCAAAAGAGGGTGACAAGGGGTATTTGGGAAGCTTTGCTGCGAAGCTTTGCTGCAAAAGTCGACTCATGACAAAGTTGAAGTAGTTTCTCAATTTGGAACAGCATAAGAACTTGAAATCTATGTATATAACTATTCCAACTGGCTGGTCCAGGAATTCACACGACAGCTATGGGAGGCTGTACAAATATTTGCAAAACCACAGCCAAAGAACATCAGAGAAATGATTATTCCATATTCCATATTATTCCTTGTTCTCCTTTAGCAACTGCAGCCCACTCTCACCATACCTATCAGCCTATCCGACCTATTCATACCTCCTACTCGCTCCGGATCGCTCCGATGTTTGGAACCGCCACGCATGCTGTTGCCTGGCTGTGGCTGAGGTCCCCACTCGCTGCAAAGCAAGGTCATCAGGGTGGATTTACCACAGCCGTTCCTACCAATGGCGATTTACCGCGTTTCCGCCAGGGAGGGCCGGCCAGACGGCCATTTCGTTCGACAAATGAAATATGAAGATCGTATGCACCGACGATGCTTCGGCTTCCTCGTCTTGAGAAGAAAACTCTCCAGGCAAAGGGGCAAGCCAAGTACTTTGCAAGTTCTATTGATGGAGAACGATGTTGATCTGACCTGTTTTTCCACGGGGACCAAGGGACAACTATTCAGTGAAATCAGCAAGCGATCAATCCCCTCCACTCGTTTAGTCTCGGGTCGACCCATCCACTTACGCAGCCAACAAAGGCGCCTGCCGCAAACGGCTACCCTTGAGCTCAAGCTCAGCTTGCCGCAGCAGTCTTGAAGCAAATAATCCTGCCAAACGTTGACGGGAAAGCCCCTAGAATTCAGGACAATTGATTTTATAAACGAGAAAACCTGATTTGGAATAATAAGTGTTCTTCCCTGTGACTCTTTTTGTGACAGGGAACCAGCTTAGCATCGTTTGAAGCAATTGGTATTTTGATTGAGCGGGTATAGTGATCGTGTGAAATGCGTGAACCAATATGAAACAATCATAACCAACGAACAGCTCCTAATGATCCTAATGGCACCATGTCGGAACATTCTCGACCAACCTTCCCACGATTCGAACGTCGATTCAACTATATACTGCAGCCATGCTGCTTTTATTCTGGTCATGAGCACGACGGCATTACAAATCAGAGACTAAATCAGAGATACTCAGAGACATTCTGCTGGTATCTGCTGGTCACCTTCTTTTGAGCTCCCGACCCATCAGTTGAGTTACGCATGCGGTTAGTGCCCTCGACCCGACGACAAAATCATATCTTGACGCGACCTCTCGCACGGCGAAACACCGGCACCCAACATGGCTGCGGCCTTGTCTTTCGAATAGCGGAAGGAGACATGCCTCGTGTGGCGGAGCTCTGTAAGTTCTGAAAAAGATTAGACTGTACTCCTTTCACAAACGGACTTCGACAAGTACTTCGGAAACTTGAATTAACCACCTTCTTTCAGGGCACTCTTCATGGACTTCTACAGCGCCTGTCTGAAATATAGAAAACAATTGGACCGCCTAATAAGGCAAACTTGTTATATAACCCCAAAATAACCCCAAAATGTTGTGCACCTTGGCTAGAGGGCAAATATGGGCAAATACATTGCCAGATGTTGCATGATTTTGCGAGGGGTCTGATTGAACAAGCATACACGTACTCCAAGTTTGGTGCTGCTCCGGATTAAATGGTCTTGATCAAAAAGCCTGATGATTTTCTTAAAGCAGTGCGATGGTCGCATCTCAAGGGAAAAGCGCTAGGTTGCTAATTTGTTTCATCAACTGCTCAAACGTTTGCCACTAAAATGCCTATAGTGGAATCTTGAGCCAGTGCCCATGCGTCATGACCTCCCTCTGCATGCAAGCTCCCTGAACAGCCCAGCACCACCTACAATGCCCTCTCCTGTAAACGAGACAAATGCCCATGACTCTTGTCTTTTTGCTGCGCGTTCCGAACGGTGGATGATTCGAATCGACTTCTGTCAAGCCATTTTTGCGCAACTGAGGAAGGAGCCTCAGCTCCAAAACACTCTTGGATCCTGTCCTGAGTGGCGGACAGGAGCGCCCCGAGACAGGCCCGGTTGGGCAAGCTGGAGGTATGATGAGGTATGTAGAGAATGAGGTGTTGAATGGTGTTGAACTCTGTAAACACGAATCTGAGATCATCTAAGCAGGTGGCAGGTGACAGGAATTAAACAAACTTGTGCAAGATTCAATGGGCAGGGCGGGTATTTGATCGCTATCACTTCAACCAGTTCAGTTTGCAGCAGAATTCTGAAGGGACGCAAAAGGATGCAACATGCCTCAACCGTCTGTCATGCAAACGAAATACCACGACACGACTGTCACGCCAGGTTTGCCAACGACTCGTGCTTGCGTTGATCCTCCCATAGCCCTCATTGCGCTCCGAGCGGCTTCACGCCCTCCATGGATCCTGGGATGGGGAAGGTGAGCTTCGGTGGGCCTGCCACCGGCGCCGCCACCTGGAGACATGTCTTTTGGAGGTGTTTGGAGGTGAACCAAAGTGAGGTTGGAGGTCTAAACGGACAAACATCAACTCATCATTGCAAAGATCTCGAAGCAAACTGCGTGCAACTGCCGATATCTTAATTACTATAACTTGAAGTCTCACTAAAGGGGCTCCGAACTTGAACTCATCGGTTTTTGGGAACAGCACTCTTGAGGTTCATGCGAGCAGCACCAAGACTTGTATATAGACTCCATTTGGCCCCGGCTGAGTATCTCAACGTCAATCAAGGCAACACAAACTGATAAGGAGGTTCCAATCCACTTAGCACATGGACAAGACTGGCTTCGACCCATCTACAGCAAAAAATTACAAGAGACAAGATAGACTCTGATTGACTCACCATCATTTTTAGTGGGTCAAAGCCTGGCAAGAATTGCAACACCTCCACTATTTGTTAGTCTGGCACAGAAGACCCCTAAAGATGAGGAGTAACGCTTGTCAAGACGTGTTGAAAGAGGATCTGTACATACGTTCCCTTTCTGATCCTTTTTTTCCCATTCATCCTAAGGCCCTGTCATCCTGTGAGATCCACCCCGAGCCACACCACTTCATGACACATGACAGGTCCAAGAACCAGGCTTTGGGGGCATCACCTGCACCAGGCTGGGGCGAGGTCGGCGAGGTCCCGAGGTCGACTTTCGGAAAACACAGCGAAATACCCCGATTTTCGGATGCACATTTTGCGGTGTGTGCATATACGACATCAAGCCGCATTGTTGTAACAATCCCAGTGTTGTTGTAACAATCCCAGTGTTTATGGGCATCTACCTTTGATGTCTTTCACTCAGCAATCTCAAAACATCAGCGAATGGGATCAGTTTTGAGACATTCTTTTACATTTTGGACCGCTAAGAGAGGCAAATGCCAACCAGCACATTAAAATCACTGACAAATAGTGCACGCTTTTGCACCACTGCTCAACCCCAGCGCGTACTCTTGAGATCGGTTTAGCACAGCTTTGGACACCCAAGTGTCCTTCTCTCTTCAGATCCAAAGGAAGAACCGATCTAAAGCGTATACTAGTCTACTCTCATAATCCCTCATACAAGTGCCAAGGGTTTGGAAATCCATTGCTGTGCCCACCTGCATCCTCATCCTCATCACCCTCCTTCTTGGTGTCGAAGCTCAGATTCCCCGAGAGCATCGCATCGATCTGCTCCTCGGCCAATGATGCAGCAGATCCCGAAAGCGGCTGGGTTAGCTTGGATGATTCAAGGAACGGGTCGAAGCAAAATCAAGAATGACTACCAGCAGCCCAATGTCAACTAGTGTGTAGATGAACAGCACACGGATCGCAATTTCATTACAGTCCGTTGTTGCCTCAGTTTCCATGAACATTCTGAGGAAGTCTGAGCCTCCCAGCCTTGCTAAGGCCCTTCTTTTGTGCAAAAATGTCGAAGTTGCCTGGTGTAAGCCAGCTCTACAAGTGGGCGACTGGGGCTTCATTGAATCCAAGATTTCTCCTTTGTCCGGCGGTCAGGATACAAGTTCTGTTGATGTCGTACAAACGTGTCGAGAAGCTGAGGGACACCATAAAAGGTGTGTAAACTCTCAAATACTTGGTAGATCTTGGTAGAATATCTCTGAGGTTGTCAGGCACCCGATCATATCAAAACAACCAGGCAACAAGAGCCGCTTCTGCAGCCTTCAGTGTATTCCAGCTTCTTGTCGACATATGCAACCACCTCAAGTCGGCACCAAGTCGTGATCAATCAAGCTCGATTTGTGAATCAATTTACAATAATACGGTCAATAATCAGTCTGTGACTTGCGACTAGCATACGAAACCTCGGTGCTGCAAAGAATAGAATCAAATGGAACCATGACTCTCAACATGCGAGAATCCAGAATCAAGAAGGTCGTGTTGCCGAGTTGGTCACAAATGTCACACATACATTACACTACTATATAGACTTCTTTCACTTCAAAAGTTCCCACAGTCAAGGGCCATGTCTCCAGACATTAGGTCACATGTGGGCCCCCTGCATGAGTACAAATCTTGTTCAAGAACTTGGGCTCATGGGAGATGACCTCACGGCGGCAAAAGCGAGCAACTTCGATGGATGAGACATAGTCTGAAGAAGTTCTCAGTGTGTCTCAGTAGTGTCTCCAAATAGTTCTAGCTCCCTGACCATACTGGGCCAAGTCTGTCTCAGCTGGCCACCATCACGGAGGAGGACGTGATGGACAGAATGTAGTCCTAATGTCGCTCATGGGCTTGTCGCCGATTCAGTGTTGGGATCACAGCTCCCATTGAAGTATTTATGGAGTAGTGAGTAGTCTGATCGAAGTACATGTTCGCTTTTTCAATCGCTTGCGCCATTATGCATGTGTTTTGGGATGTTTCAGCCGCGAATTCCCCAAGAGAAAAAAAAACGGTTCGACCCTTGACCACTTCGTGGAATGGTCGCTTGACTGCTTCACGAGTAGACAAACCACACTGCCATGACACGGACACCGTGTAGCTTGTTCTGATTTTTGGTACACAATATTTTTGTGGGGATTGCATGGATTCATAGATTGCGCTGAATACTGAATGCTACTGACTTTTGAGAACAGGCCCTGTCCTGCGAAAGAAAACCAGCCAGTTGCTGACATTAAAAAGGGCGGTAGCAAACCGAAGGCATCAGCCCTCCAAAACAATTAAACACGTGTGAGCCGACGACTGCAAGTGTGCAACTCATGAACGCACATTGCTTTGAGGGCCCCACATCTTGCGACACAATCTCACACCCATGCACAATGCCTGCCAAAAGACCTAAACATGTGGTACTGTCATTAGATCAATAACAGTCAGCAACCGCAATTCGAGGAATTCGACCATGGACCATTCTATCATATTCTATCGACTTTTAGACTGTTCACTTCAGAATATGTTTGTCTTGACCCACACCCACGCCATCCCATGCCGGGTGCTGAGGGCTTGACGCTGAGCCACTGCACCGACTCTTCATCCAAATGGTTTCTAAGCGACAACGCAAACATTTGTTTATTTTTTGTTGGACACTGACCAGAATTCCATAACATTCCACAATCTTTCTGTGCCTGTACTTTCCATGTCTGCGAGTTACTTTGTAAATGTCAATGTTAGTCTTGACTTCAAACATCTACGTTGGAAAAAGCAAATCTGTTGGCCGAGCTACGTTGGCTCATCCAGAAGCACCAAGTCTGCATGCTTCAACATCGACACGGCCAACGTGAGTCGCATCCTGAAGAAGATCAGCAACCATGATGGAATGATGGAAAGTGTGTCCTTAGAAAAGCAAGGAAGTGATGAACGGAAACCAGGTAAATGTACTTTTGATGCTGGAAGTGTGAAAAAAACACTCCTAAGCAATGCATGTCATGCCTCGCATTGTGCTGAAGCCAACTCCAAAAAACGTTTGACACCCCAAAACTCCCAGAATCCTCCGGTGGAACTCTGCGCCTCCAGCCAGTGGAGAGCTCTGCCACGGGATCATTCAGCTTTGCTTCATCGAAGCCTACCTGCCGAGCCCACGAACCACTTGCCGTGGCTGGCACTCGAACCCCACTGAATGAAGTCTTTTTGATTTCTGTTTTTACAATTAAAATAGAATGTACATACTAATGTAATCTAATGTACATATTTATCATTAATCATAGTTTTCAAATAATATAGTATGTATATTACATATTTGTCTATGCACGAGCTGCAGTCATGTAATGAAAGGGAACAGCGATCGACTCCCGCGCACCTTTAAAAGGGTCTCACGCCCCGCGGCGTTCACCCCGATGTCCTGCCGAGCGACGCAAATCCAGCTCGGCACCGGAGCAATGCGGGGACAAGCTCCAGGCAAGACGAACAGCACACACACACACAACAGCAGGAACCAAACAACAAGCGTCAACAGATTGAACCCCACGTCCCTCCCCCGACAACATCCTTGGCCATCTTGATGCAGTACTCCAAAGCCTCAGCACCGGGCCAGTGCAAGCAACCAAGCAGGGGAGGCTTAGCCGCCCAGCTTTGTAGCTGAGACATGTTGAGACCGTTTGAGACACTTGCAGTCAGCACACTTCAGTTAAGACTCGAGATCTTCATGCCTGCTTGCTGATCCATGCTCCAATCTATCTACACGATCATGCCTCCGTATCCCATAGAATCGATAGAATCCCATACACTTTCAACTCATCAGGCCGCTTCCTGATGGCACTGATGGCCGCTTCCTGGTCAGTTTTGGGTGCGAGCAACGTTGAGGTAGCTGTCGCTCATCTCCCCCAGCTTGGAGTCATCGACGTGGACACACTTCAAGTCCTATGGAAGACATCAAATTGGGGCACATCATTGAAATGGGCTCCAACAAAATGGCCTGCTTTCGCCCTTTTAACCAGAACATACCAGAATAACCGTTATTTCTTGCAGTTTTGCTTACCAGCCATCATGACAGGTGGATTGTACACATTAAATTGCTGTGGTTGCTAAATGTGAGCTGGATCTACTTGCTCTCCGAACTTTCGCGAAAAGTCGAAAAGTAGTCGACCCGCCGCGAAAAGTCTCGAAAAGTGAGAAAAGTCGAAAAATCAAAAAGTCTCGAAAGTTGAAAAGTCTCGCTGCGTGCTTTCGTGTCCTTTACCTTTTTGACTTTTTGACGTTTCTAACTTTTTGACTTTTTGCGTTTTGCTGGGTGTCTTGCAAATAGATCGTCGCTAAAGGATTTAGCTAGCTTAGTTAAATTGGCATTGGATGGCATTGGCCCCAAAGAACAAGCAACGCCTCAAGCTAGACTCTTGGAATTATGCCTGCTCCGTCCTGCACAAACCTGGAATTCTTGGGGGCCCCCAGGGTGTTGTTTGACTCGTGCTGGACAAACTCTTTGCGCCCTCTCTCGCATTGAAGTCAAAGCTGGCTGGACGGCAAATCTCAGGCGAACAGAATTTAAGTTGCCGAAGAGTTTCCACAACCCCAAGTAGTATTTCAGGGGCAAGCTACTTGCAATGACAGTACTCCACAACCTGACAGTTGCAGAGGAAACACATCGTCAACAATTGCTCTTCTCGTGATATATTTGTAAGCAGCCATCAGCAGCCCTCTCAGCTCCCCTGTCGTCTCCCAGTCTCCGTCGGTCCGGCGGCATGCCGACAATCCGGTGTGCAGCGATTTCTTTCATCAAGGTAGTCTTTCCAGCACCGTTGTGGCCTGAGACGGGGATTGGCCATCAAGTTATCAAGTGGCAATACTGTATGCACATGAGCCTGAGAGGGGTTGGAGCAATTGTGCTTTCAGGTTGGGTTTGGGAAGATTGATCGTCTTCCACATCATTGCAGTATTGCAGTGTGTGTTCTTTCAGATTTTGCTGGTAAGCCACCGTGGTGTGGAGGCAGCTAGTTGTGCTGATGTCACTCAGCTTGGTTGCACATCTGTAGAGAGTCAATATCAATATCTGTCAACAAGTTGATCAATGAACCGTTACATGTACATCGAACATGATGTCGAACATGATATTCCCGCAGGTGTAAAAGTGGTCCGAAGTAACATGAGAACCACCATGAACCACCTATTCGGTTCTTGATCATGAACAAAACCTTGGAGTGCAAGGTGCTCCAAACAGCATCAGTCAGCCATGAGATTTCCCCATCCCACCACCGGTTGTCACGCGTTGGATCCACCAGCCTACCACGCCATAGCGGCAGTTCTTCTTCATCTCCAGGGTGGTGTCCTGCGGGTCCAGGGGACCGAGGTGCCTAACCCTGTCTGCATTTCTCCCGTCACTCCTTCTTGGTTGGCCAAGACATACATCGAAGCCCAAGCAACCACATCATCTCACGAAACATCAGGGAGCCATAGCCATCCATAACCTATTAATCCATATCAATCCTATCACCTCAATCTTTTTCAGTGGCGCCTAGACTTTGACCTCAGCCACCTTGAAGGACTGCTGTCCTACACATCCCATCACGGACCGTGGGCTCCTTAAGCAGCAAATGCCCAGCACCGTACATCAGCAACAGGTTCTCCACTCTGAGCCTCGACTGAAGGACCGATGGGTTCCCATCCGTCCAGCTTCTGCTGCACATGGATACTACTCGACTCTAAAGGGTGGTGGAACTGCACATCCCGCATAAAAAAAGCTTGTACTTTAAAACATAGCTTCTGTCCCAGTTCAGCAAAGTCATTCAAGAATCAAGAATCCTGGAGATCCCCCAGCTAACACAGTTTAGCCAGCAGAATTGAATTTCAATGACTTTGAGGTGTCAACAGAATTTCATCGTCTTGGTCTGCACCATCAGCATGTGCATCAAATGCATCCTGCAAAAAGCAAGAGCATTGAGAGCATCTTTCTGACCACAATGAGTTCTGGAAATGGTGAAAACACGACAAAGCTTACATGAAACTTACCAAGCAGGTCAAGCGCGCGACTAAACAGCCAAGTACTTGATTGAAGGAGTGGTTCTCGACAGGTAGTATACACACTTGACCATTCCTGCAACGACACGCAACTTATCTGCTTGGACACCTTTACCGCCCATGCCCCATTCCCGGTCTCCCCCATGACAGCTCTCACAACGGCTTCCGCGATGGATGGCAGCTCATCCAGGGAAGGAGCCTCACCCACCTGGTTGGTGGACCAGCAGATTGCCCGTCAACATGCTCAACATGATTGTACGAACGTACAAAGTAAACTGGTCATGCCTTCTTGCCCCTTGTCGCATGTATGTGAATTTGACTATATAGCCCTAGTTTTATTGCGGACATGGTTGTGTCTTGAACCACAGAATCCTGCAACCACCCTTTCATCTACAGCATTCCCTTCTACTATAGCATTTGGTGGTGCCTTTGTTTGCTCTCATAAACTTCCAGCCTCCTTTGACAGTGTCAATGCTGTGGTGAAATCCTCTGTCATGGTCGACATTTGCTTCCTGACTGGCAGGGTGGGTTCCTACGTAAACACCCTGCGTGACCATTAACCTCTGAAATCGGCAGTTGGAATCTCTTCCTTCAACAGCGTGGATGTCTTGACCACCTATTATTATGCCATATTCATGTTATTCAAAGGAGTATGTCCTCCAAGCATCAGCATTGTTCGTTGCCATATCACAAGCCTTCTGTAGGGCATAATAATGGATAACAACTCGCAGCACTCACTCACAAGTCAACCAAGAGGGGCTGTGGCCAAGTGTCGTCAACTATCCTTCGGCTTAACTGAAAAAGACCTGACAAAAGACCTGAAAGCACCTTTTCAGCTCAAAAAGGGCCTTTTCAGAATTTCATTGGGGCTCAAGTGAGGGCAGGTATCTGGCCATTGCGATGCGCATCCATTTCATACAAGCTGCTTGCCATTGAAGTGCTTGTTCTTTTGACCCTCCACAACAATGGACCTCAAAGCTACGGAAGGAACTGCAGGTCATGGTGTGAGAAAGGTTGACTGTATGACTGTGTGATACTATATAATAGAGAATCTCGCAATCAATAAGGAGCCCTAGCCAACCAGCCAGTGATATCAGTTGATAGCTTTGGTATTCGTCAGTTAATTCATGCTAATTCCTAAAACTCCAGTGACCAATTGGTGGTGCTTTGGGTGGTTCTTGCTTCATTTATTCAATGTTAATTATTCACAAACAGGCCTGCATCTCCATCCCTACACCCCACCATACGACCGATCCATATGCCTCAGCTCCAAACGCGGCGATGGCAGCCATGTGTTGGCGCACGCAGGGGACCAACTTGGAGAGACGTTCCTCCTTGTTGATGACCTGGGTCAGTGCCAGAAGTTTACCGCTTCGCACGTCTGGCTTCAAGATCTTCACCGCGAAGAAAACATGTGGCTCGGCAGGGTTCAGACCCGGAGTGTGGAACGCTGAACAAATACTCTGTGAAGCTTGGGCGAAAGGCCAAGCTAGGAGGTCCTAGAACTCCCTCTACAATCACACAGGCAGCCTACGGTTACCCTGGGGGCAGCCTACGATGACTCTTCATGCCTCTTCCCGCTTTCGCGAACGAAAGCCACCATGAAACACGGAACTCTTGCAGCAAAAAAACAAGAAAATCATAAACAAAAATAGCAAATCAACATAAATCAACTCATTGATTTCCCACACCTCCCGACCTCAATCGTCGCTTGGACCATCCCGCTCCATCAATTACCTCGAAGGTGCCACCCGCGCGGTGCTGGCCGCAGCAGCTGCGTCCATGTGCTTGTGGCCACCCGCTTCCTGGCCACATGTTTACCTAGTAGCGCCTTGCTCCTAGTAGCGATGCCAGGAGCCCCTGGTAGCTTCTTGTTCCTAGTAGTACGGCCAGGAGCCCCTAGTTAGCGTCCTTGATAATGTGACCAACGTTGCAGGGAGGCCATCAAAGTCCCCCCCAAAAGGATAATCAACAGATTCAAAGTGGCACGTCGTCCAGCCATTGCTAGTTCAATCATGTTCAATCTACCTTCCAGGTGTTTCTGCAAGTTGTCTGCCCTAAACAGTCCCTTCCTCAAGTCAGAGTTGCTTAGTAGCAACCACACTTTGCAACAGCATGATGATTCGAAACCAACTTGGGACAGCACGCCCACCATGCGGTCCACCGACTACCAGGTGAGCCAAATGCGGACCAGCCCCAGTTGGCCCAGTCGGCCATGGCGTCCTCTTCTTTGGCGTCAGGTTCCAGGCCATGTACCACCAACGCTGCTAAGCTGCCTTCGGGCCTCGGCGCCACTTAGGTGGGAGGACCACCACGGGAGGCGTTTCATTGGGCAACCACCCAGTATCTTTCATTGAAGTTCTGTTTCCTATGCACTCGTTTGGAGTTTCTAGGTCAACCGGTGGAAAAAAACATGAAACAACTATACTGTAAATAGGTTGACATGTGCCTGTTTGCATCAAGCATTGCATGCCTGACGTTTAGAACCACAAAGGAATCGGATTCGAGGCACGCATTTGGACATCGTGTGGGAGTCTGTATTCTAGGTGTTCTGCATAAAAATCATGCAAAGGCACCTTTTCTTTCAGTGTTCGTTCGGAATCCGTCTAACAACAGCCTGTACATGGCCACGCTGCGACATACTCTCCTCAGTTTCGGACGCCCGCTCCGGAGTGGGTGGGAAGGACCGTCTGGAGACCTCCAGAGCAGAGGCTCAAACAAGATAGGATATGCATGCCCATGGCCCACAGACAAGAGCAGACCTCCCAACCCCAATAATAGTAAGTCAAGTTTAAGTCAAATGGAAGAAAGAAAACATCGGTGGTGCCCCGCCTAGTTTCTGCACGATGCAGGGCTACAGCGCTACAATTAAGAAATCACCTGCCTGATGTTTGGACCTTTCAAGGATTGGGGGATGACGAAGCATCAATCGTTGAATATCCAAGGTGTTCATGCACTGCAAGCAAGAACGTCGTCTAGCGGCTGGCAACATAGTGGATGCTGTACTGGCACCCAGCAGCTCCACATTTCGAGCATGGCCTTTGGGAACCCCTTTAGTGCACCCCATGTTCACGCATCTTCCGCACACGAAACCTGTTGAACCCTCACCCATCATCTGCACCCCTACTCTTCAACAAACATAGCAGGTGTTGTTTTGCTTTCGTCACATCCCACCCGCTCCGTCACCGTTTCCGTTCAGTCCGGGAATTCCGTTCACCTCCGGGACCTCTCCCTCCAGCGCTTCCATGTCTCCACTCTTCACCAACTGATCGACCACCTGGCGGAACACCCGGTCGGTCGCTGGCTGAAATGCCGAACAAATGGCTGAACGGGAAGGTTTGGGTGTTCCATGGTGTTCCATAGAGGGTGAACGGGTGAACCTCGGGTCCGGTCAGTCTCATCATCTCAGTCTCCCCAAGCTGGCTGGGCTTTTGATCGAAAGCGACAAACGAGCAAATTGACGGTGAGCTTTCTGCAAGGAGTGCCAGCCACGGTAATGAGCACAGGTCCGCAACACAATCTTTCTTGTCTCTCAGCCTAAGCGTTTCTGGAGATTCGTGGTGTCTCCAGTTGCT